TACATATTTTGGCTTATCACACCAACAACAAGAGCAATACTACTCAACGATTGCTGCAACCCTCTATGATTTATTACACGTCATTGCTCCTTAGTTACTGGGCCGATATTACCACATAGCATATCTCTACAACCCTCTATGATTCATTACATGACATCACTCCTCAGTTACTGGGCTAATACTACCACATGACATATCTCTACCAACTAGAGTCCTAGTAAGATGAACGATAGCTCCAAAAGCTTCTACAACCCTCTATGATTCATTACATGTCATCGCTCTTTAGTTACCCACAAGATTGGTTAAGTTATGACATAATTTGTCTATGACATAATTTGTCTATGACATAATTTGTCTATAACATAATTTGTCTATAGGGGTACTCTGACCTTGGACCTCCTTTTACTTCCTATAGGCTACAAACCTAAGAGATGGTTCTATGGAATTCTCTTACGTCGACTACAGTTACCAAGCCTGGTAAGTCATGGAAAGTCTTGGAAAATGAGAGAACTACACTCCTTTAGCATAAATAGGATTGCCCTTTCCTTAAGAAATGGCAAGCAGACAATACAGTAAATCGACTATCACATACTTCCACGTCTTTTCCAAGCTTCCAAGCATTCATCTTGTTACTCCTTGTTTCTGAAAAGTCAGTGAGGTGTTAACCTCTGACTTACCCCTGAGTTCCCAGACTCAACATTTGTTGCAACTTGTCTGAACCACTTCACTACATCACACACCTGATTGCTGCGTTGTGGAATAGTCTAAGCTACGACCCTTTGGCTTTGTTTTCTAAGACAGTGTGTTGTCTTAGTAAATTCATCCCTTCCTTGGTGGCTACATTCTCACATCTGGTGCACCCACCATTACATCAAGGGTAGTATCTATCTTTAATAGTGACGTTGTTCATTCCTTGATAGTCCATGTAGAGTCTTAACTTCTTGTCCTTCTTTGGCACAAATAGTATTAGACTTCCTACTAGTGATGTCGATGGTCAAATGAACCTTTTCGCGAGGTTCTTGTCAATGTATTCCTTTAGTATGTCTAGCTCTGCTGCTGACATCTAATATATTGGTCTGAACGGTAGACTCTTTCCTTCCATGATAGGTATCTCATGATCCCATGGTTGGTGCTTAGGAAGCGTCTCTTCGTTAGGGCCTTTCTAGAATAACTGCTCATATTCCTTATACTCCACCAGTATACTCATTAGTGAGGGTGCCTAGGCTAGGTCACTAAGGTCTATAGAGGTTGCACATGCCTCACGTCAGCCCTAGGAGTTTCTCTCCCCTTCTTGCATCATGTCTGTTCGTTCACATGTGCACTAGCTCATCACAACTTTCTCTTTCCGCTAGTTGATCTAGGGGTTGTGTTTCTTAAGCCACGGTACACCAAGGATACATGCATGATTGTTCATGTGTACAATATCGAACTGTATTGTTTCCTTGTGTCTGTGTAGCATGACCATTTCTAATAGGACCATCTTGTAGGTCACCATTCTGTTGTTAGTTAAAAAAGGCTGCCCATCTACAACCATTAATGGGTATGGGTCGGTCTTTAGTTGCATCCTAAAACTGTATGTGTTTGCTACTTTCTTTGTTATAAAGTTGCCCATTGCTCCTAAGTCTATCATAGCTCGGAGATGTTGTTGTATCTTAGTAACTACATATATCTACATGCTACCCATTGTGGCACATAGCTGGTTGGTACTAGGCCTCTAGTGGCCTACTGCTAAGGCCTCCTAGTTTTTTGAATCGTCTAAGGAAAAACCCTCATATTCGCCATATTCTAATGGTCGTGGAAGTAGTGTCCCTTCTCTTCTTCGTTTTGCTTCAAGGCATAGGCGTTAGTGCGCTTCTAATGCTTATGTTTTCCTCTTCTCTCCTAGAATGGGTTCCTCGGAAATGGTACTCATTTAAAGCCTAGATTTCTACAAGCTATGATGCTTCATACTCTCCCTCCTGTTCTAGTTGTTGTAATACTAACAGATTGTTTCGTCAAGCCTCATAGACCTCTTTGTTAGGGTGGTGTATGTCAATGATTCTCTAATCTATGATAGCATCCTAGACGTTATATTTGCAGAGTTTATATTCTAGCCATCCTGTGGCTTCCCTCTCTGTGTATTTCGCTCTATGTAGCTCCTGCTAGTGAGGGTATTCTAGCACCTCATTGTGCGAACTGCAACCTGCCAGCTCGTTAGTGGCTTTGGCATAGGAACTCCTTAATCGACTGTCTCCTAGAGCATGGCTTCCTTGAAGGTTCTTACTGCTCCTAGCAGTTGTTCCTTAAAAAGAGTCTTACTTGCTGTCTTCTCAAATGCTTATAACTGGTGCTTTTGAGAACTAGTGAGCTCCTCGTCATCAATCTTGTCTTCTCCGTTTAACAAGCGGAATTCCTCGAGATCCTAAGTAGTAATACTCCAGTTCTCTTTCTCTTTTAACGTGGTGCATAGCTGTCCTCATAGGGCAACATACCCGCCCTAACCTTACCAAGTGGCATTGAGCTGTTTGCCATACTTCCGTCTGCCGTTCCCTTTCTCTGGTTGTTTGCAATTTTGTGCCATATGTCTAGGCTTGTTGTAGTTAAAACAGAGCTGTTCTTTAAGCTGTTGCTCCTTGTCATAGTTATGTAGGCGTTTGCCTTGCTTAAGGGTGGCATCAAGTTCTATAGGGTCTGACCATCGGTTGTCTTGAGAATAATTCTCTCTCTTTCGACCTTTGTTACCTCGATACTTATAACTCTTCTTTGGGCTGTCGTAAGTTCGTTGTTCCTTCTAGAACTCATATAGCTAGTTGTCGATCTGGACTGTATGTTTGATGAGTAAGACCATGTCTTTTGGCTAGGAGAGGCCATTCTTATGGCCGGTCTTCGGGACACATAGAACCACAATATCATCATAATCGCCTCATGAATAACAGCCCCTTGCAATTCCAGTGACTGGTAAAGTGACCATTGTTCGATGCAGTTTGCGTTTTGACCTGCCAATCACCTACATCATCAAAGGATCAACGGATTGAGGAATTGGAGTCAAGTCTCCAAGAAGTGGTTCACCATGCGCAGCAATAGATCTCCGACGAAGTCATCAAGCGCGAGGCCGCCATGACTGAATTGGCTGAAGAAAATGCGCGTTTACGATTGATGCTCGGCATGGGGGAATGACGGGCTGGAGTTATGGCTAGTGTTCCGAAGGATGGGGACAGAGTGATACAGGAGGGACGAGAGCATGGTTATTCAGCATGGATTTCGGTGATAGACAGTTTGAGAGGCATTGATTGTGGTCAGTTGAAGCTATTCGGAGGATTCAGATGGTGATTCGGGACCCAGTGGGGGCGAGTGTGAGGCAATTTCATACTTAGAATTAGTCAGCACATCACGTGCTAGGAGAGGCCATTCTTATGGCCGGTCTTCGGGACTCATAGAACCACAATATCATCATAATCGTCTCATGAATAACAGCCCCTTGCAATAATCGTGACAATTTGGGGGTCATGCGAGTTTCATACAGACATGGCTCTTTAGTCTACGACAATAGTGGCTAATGAGCATGTAGGTTTCCTAATTGGTTTAGTTGCTATATCTTTGGAATTTCGTACTGTATGTAAGGGTGCTACCATTCTGCTTCAATTTGTATAGATGGTCTTCTGCAGTTTTAACCTCATCGATATCGCCAAACATGCAGCGGATCTCCTTCTTGAATCCTTTCTAAGTACTGAACATAGTTCTAGTAGTAGTCATCGTACCACAGGTGTCCTCATATTGAAAGTAGTCCTTAAGGAAGTGTTCTACCTATCGAAGGGCTTCTCCTCTAAGATAGGAGGACGTCCATAAGGCGTAATTCTTGTTAGTTGGAAACTTGTTGTCATTGAAGTGCGTGTATAACTTCAATTGTGTTGCGTAGAAGCTCAAACCAACAACGGATGACTTCTGGGTCCTCGCACTTAGCCCTCTGGTAGTCGTATTTGCGCTGAAAGCGTGTCCGGAGCTCTACATGCTGCTTAACAAAGTTTGAAGCCCAACGCAACCCGACACGTGGCACGTCGCATGTTGCAAGTAGCCGATTTGCCATATCTTCAACAATAGACAACTGAGGAGGAAATCCTTTTGTAGCTAGGTCGAGTATGTATTGAACAAGGACTGATTCCTTTAGGTTTGTCAATTTCTGTGAGTTGGCTTGGATATCGCGTCGTGAAGGTATGCCTAGTAATCGATGACCTAGCTTACGGTAGCCCACAGAAAAGGTCCTAGCTACAGCTCGAAGGCGTAACTTTGGGTCGCTTTGTAGAGCTTGGATAGCTAGCAGTAATTGCCTTTCATCGTTTTTTGGCAGCATGTTTTGTTGTGGAGGAATTGAACATTTAGTTGGGGGTTATTGTCACCGCATCATTTTGGCCGGTTCGCTACTCGTATACATGTACGTTATTCAAGAATACGTTGAATAATTTTGCTAACCCTGATAGTAAATGAAAATTCTACCCTGTCGTGATTAATAAGCCATCACGTGACGCTCACCGCCAGCTCTTCGAAAGTGCTACCTCCCTCGCCGTCCTGGTGTAGCCTCGTCCTGGTGTAGCCTGGTCCTGCTGATTCGCCAGCCGCCGCTCTCATTACATCAGAGAGGTTAATAGGGGGGTATAGGGGGCTTTCGGGCAGCAAAGGGTGGAGGAGTAAGGGAGGTGGTCGCTATCGCTCTTCATGGCGACACTACGTAGGGCCAACGGCTGTGGGAGACGGTGAGCGTCACATGGTAGCTTATTAATCACGACAGGGTAGAATTTTCATTTACCATTGAATTAATTAACTATCATCTCCGTACTGGGCCTACGTACTATTTGTAGACCGGCTCCTGAAGCTAGCTCAGGCCCGAGGCCTGGTTAAGCTGGGCGATCCGCCCGTCTCAAACGCCCGGCTTCGCCCAAACTACGCCCAGCTTCAGAGCTGGGGCTGATCGTTGCACCCAGCTACTATGAAGCTGATGCCGATCCTACGCCCAGCTTCTATGAAGCTGATGCCGATCCTACGCCCAGCTTTGCCTAGCACCAGTCTGCCCTACGCCCGGCATATATGGCAGTCCTACGTCACCTACCTGGTGGCTTGGGCCTCGTGCCTAGAACGGTCCGATTAGGTGGTATTACAATATATCCAACAATATGCCAAGATATTTCAGACCGTGTGTACGTGGGTGTACCCACCGCAAACCAAACCAATACCTACGGAGAATCAATCAAAGAACCGCAAGCTTCGCCATATGCGAAAGCGAGACATTCTGCGGGTTGGCAAAAACGTCCGCCGGTATAAACGGCCAGCTAAAGCAAACGCCCTGGTGCGCGCCCACGCCGCTAATGTGCTACAGGGGATGGAGTATGAAGAGTAAGACGTTATTTGCTATGCGTATCTAATTCCGATCCTACCAGACCACTCTGCGTTACTTCCAGCAATAAACACTAGACTAGCCACTGGACCATCCACTACCGCACTTAGGCTCCAAATGACAGCGGGCTACATTCAGCCTATGCATCCCGCCGGCGGGCCCCGCTTCCGTGCTCCGCTGTCTTGGTCGCTTTCTACGTTGTTCAGGATGAACTCCGTTGTTTTGTAAATCCCTCCATCCACTACTAGACGCGTCTTGCTCTCCGAGCGCTGTGGCTGTGTGCCGGACTCGACCGTTGTGCGCGTTGTGCCGACCCTCTTTGAGCCGTACAGTTCACGCGACATGCCTCTACTGCCAGTGGACTCGAGGTTGTAGGAGAGGCCACCTTCAAAGCCAGCTGGGAGGGCTGTGTTGAAGACGCCGGATTGCATGCTCGCCAAAAGATGCTGTAGGCTGGGAATGCAGGCTGTAACAATGCTGAGGTGCGTGACTGCCCTACGTGGAAAACTGCTGTCAGCCAAATAGGGGGTGGGTCTTCGGTGGGGGGTCTTACTGTGTCCAAATTGCCACATTGACGCCGTACCAGGATTTATCAGCGGATCCAATATATCGCGACAAATAGATCAACCGCGGGATCTCTGCAAGGCATACGCTGTGGAGTCTAGTTAGCCGTTTCTCTGTCAAAGTAGGCGCCGAAGTAACCCACAGCATTCTGGCCATGAAAACCAGCATCACTATTGCTCTCTTTCTTTGCTGGATCTGGACACCCCAGAGGATGACAACTGGCAGGATGGTAAGGGCGATGTCGGTGATGATATCAATGACTCCAGCGGCATAGTACAGCGCAGACTGGTTTCGGCAGACGCCAGAGGAGTTGTTCCATGGCTGTGGCAAGGAGCACTGGAATGCAAACCCGAAGACGGTCCCAACTCCCCATGTAGCAATAAGGCATAGGATGATCCTTCCGACCCTGATGGTGGCCACGTTTGGCGTCAATCTTATGATGAAAAGGAGCAGCGACATTTTGGCCAGGACGATGGTTATGATAAATAGAATCTGATATGTGTAGTTATATTTGTTGCACATGTCTATCTCGTCGTCGAGTAGGCTGGCTTCGTGGCGTCCAAGACCAGCCAGGGCTGCTTTATGAAGTATGCCGCATTGTATCAGCCCAAACGCCTGTGGTATTGTCAGTTTGGTATGGGGAGGCAGATGTACGTAGAGGGCCTCCTTACACCAGCAGCTGCCATCAGGTTATCATCGAGGCTCCATGATCTGATGGATAGCTTCCTGAGCAGGCTGACGATGACTGTTATAACCATAAAACACATCATCGTCCAGTTTGCTATAACCACATATCCACCATGATCGGTATCGCTAATCACCCAATGCGGAGGTGACAATGCCGCCAGCGGGTTTGGATCTGACTCGGCTCTCATCTTGAGAACGAATTAACAATTAAGCATACACGGTTAAATTTTCCAGATGCCTCAGTGAAGAATAATTATCAATATCAGAGGGGTCGGCGACCACGCCAGTCACTCCCCTCGCCCCTGACCGCCCACTCTGGGATTCCGCATGTGCTGGGTATTATAGGGCACCCTTGTCCGCTGCAACCACCCACTCCCATGCGACATGGCATGATTTCTTTTGGCGCGCTGTGAATCTGATAGCGGTGAATAAAAGGTCCCTGGTTCGAGCGCTCGGTGTAATGAGCCAGTTGTGACAAATTATCCAAATAGAAAAAGTACTGATCACTTCTAGGAGTGCTTCTCGATCACACCCGGCGGCCCTCTGCACCTGTGCTACTGGGCAGGATGCACAATGTAACGGGGCAGGGCACTCTGGTGCCTGTTCTATCGTGTTTTGTCTCGAATGCCGGCTCCCCGCGTGCCGAATTTTGCCCGCTCAAGCTCTCATCTTCAAATATCCCCCCAAGGGAGCCTCTTTCCCATGGCACCTCAAGCATATGAGTGTTTGAGGCCATCTACTATTTCAAAGACATCGACGTCTCTATATCTCAAGCATGACCATGGAATTCGAGATGACGGGGCGCCGGCCCAGCAAGAACGGTTCGGGCGAGGTCAGGCACGATGATGAGGAGTACTCTTACGGCAGCCGTGACCGAGCTGTTCTCGCAAACTTGGGGAAGAGGCAGGCATTAAAGGTGAGTTTCCGGTATGAACTGGTGGGGACATACAGCTAACAGCAGCAGCGGAGCTTTGGCTTCATATCCATGGTGGTGCGAACAGAGTCAGAGCGATGCCAGTCTTGATGGCCACAGCGCTGACCTCGCAACCAGGGGTTCTCAAGCACATTGATGGCTACATGGGAACCATTATCAGCGTTGGTAATCCTCAGGCAACTGCAAGCTAAAGGCTAATCCAAGCACAGCTTACTGCAAGGAGGACTTCTCAATGGTGGTCCAGTATCGCTGGTATATGGCTTCATCCTCTGTTTCTTCGGTACGCTTGCGACTTGTGCGTCACTGGGTGAGATGGCATCAATGTAAGCCAACCGTGTCTGAGAAATTCAGCCAATTGACGCTAATCACTTTTGCACAACAGGAGTCCAACATCTGGAGGGCAATACCACTGGGTTGCGCAGCTGGCACCGCGCAAGTACTCCATATTGTTGGGGTGGTACACTGGTAAGACATCCAGAAAGTCGTGCCGTACAACACTCTCACACACCGCAGGATGGGCCTCAGTCCTTGCATGGCTAGCTGCTACGGCGGCACCAGCCTTTCTCGGCGGGACTTTGATTCAGGGTCTCCTAGTCCTAAACCACGACACATATGTATTCGAGCGATGGCATGGAACTCTGCTCTATACTGCGATTATCACCTCAGCAGTCCTCGTGAACATCTTTGGCATCAAAATCCTACCTCATTTAGAAAGCGCCATTCTCTTGATACACATCGGACTCTGGTTTCTCCTTTTAATCCCGATGGTATGTCTTGCACCTCAACATTCAGCTGAGTGGGTCTTCACGGATTTTGAGAACCAAGGGGGTTGGAGTAGCGATGGCGTGTCTTGGTGTGTTGGCCTTCTCACAAGCGCCTTCCCATTTACTGGTAAGCCGCCGAAATCCCTGTGTTAATGTTACCATGTCTCATATTCGAGTCAGGCTTTGACGGTGCGTGGCACATGAGCGAGGAAATTGAAAACGCAACAACCGTCGTTCCCCGCGCCATGATCACAAGTATTGTCCTCAATGGCTTTCTCGGCTTCGGTTTCCTGATTGCCCTCCTATTCAGCATGGGGGACACCAACGCCGCCCTTTCAACCCCCACGAGATACCCAATTATCGAAATATTCTACTCCGCGACGAGTTCAAAGTTGGCCGCAACCCTAATGGTCTCAGGCATTGTCCTATCGGCCGTAACATCCACCTGGGGTCTGCTCTCCGCCGCGTCGCGTATGACTTGGGCATTCTGCCGAGACAACGGACTACCTTACTCGCCCTACTTTGCACACGTACGTTCCACTTTCTCTGTAACTTGCTCAAACTAATCCCTCCCAGGTCCACAGCACCCGCCACATCCCCGTCCGCTCTATCCTTCTTACTACCGCCACCCTACTCGTCCTTGGCCTGATTAATATCGCCTCTGCGGCTGCATTCTATGCCGTTACCGGCCTTGCAACCGTGGCCTTGTACTCCACCTACATAGTCCCAATTGCACTTCTCGTGCTACGTCGGCTCTCAGGGGATGAAATCCCCTTTGGCCCCTGGCACCTCGGGAGATGGGGTATGCCCCTTAACATGTTCTCTTTACTGTACACGTTGTTCGTGTCAATCTGGATGTTCTTTCCCGCGTTTGTTCCGGTGACGGCTATGAATATGAATTATACGAGTGTTGTGTACGGAGGAACATTTATTTTCAGTGCGGTGGCGTGGTATACTTATGGCAAGACGACGTATCTGGGGCCGATTAAGGAGGTGAGGGAGTAGGCAAGTTGTGTGTGTAACCTATATTTGGATGCGGGAATAGATATCAATCATGGCGTTGAGGACCTATATATACTGTAGATAGATAGTAAATATACTCGCTCCGGAGCGAGTGTAATGTAAGCGATGGTCTTTTGCTTGTGTATCGTAATGCTAGCTGTGCGTAGACACTGTGAAGAAGTTTTAATAGGAGATGGCCTTGTTGGCAAGAAGAATTAGACTGTATATTATGTTTCACAAGCGAAGGGATCACACAAGCGCAGTGTTCCCCAAATAGTATTAGAATAGTATTCGGGGTTTTCCCGAATACTCGCCATCTGGGAGTATTCGGCGAATACTCATACGAATCCTCGCCGAATAGTATTTGAGTATTTTGAGGCTCAACTGTAGTATATAGTAATGAAATATGATAACTGTCTACTCGCTATTATCCTCCTCCTCGTCGCCTATAACCCCCCAATCCCATAGGCAGAGTAGATATCGAAGAGTTGAAGGTAATAACCTGTTCCTTTTCTTTGTGACTATATCACCGCCGACACTAAATATAACGTAAGTCATGGCGTAACGCAACGGGTGTCGTAACGCAACTGATAACCGAGGACTACCAACTTGTAACTTGAATAACTCAACAATGGTGCGTAGGAAAAGCATAGCGACGGCGGATTTAGAGTCTCGTATTACTCAGGCGATAACTGGCGTTCAAAATGGTGAATATAAAAGCTTGTATAAGGCTGCCCAGGACTTGGGGTTGACGCGGAGCACATTGACGCGACGCGTCAATGGGGGGTTATCTCGCCGTCAAGCCCGCCAACAACAGCAGAAACTCTCATATGCTCAGGAAAACGTACTTCACAAGTGGATCAAAGACCTAACAATAAGTGGGTACTCTCCCGGGCATCGCTTATTAAAAGAAATAGCAGAGGAACTGCGTACAAAATGAACATACAATTTGGACAATGTGACACCCGACGTGCTTGAACTCCAACCACATGATACGCTTGGTGAGGACTGGGTTCCCCGATTCATTATACGACACCCACATCTCAATGTTGCTATTGGACGTCGAATTGAGTCCGTACGAATGGACGGGGCAACAAAACCAGTGCTTGACGCGTGGTTTGACGCGTATCAGAAAGTGGTTCAAGAACACGGAATCGTCCAAAAAGACATATATAACATGGACGAGTCTGGATTTTCGATTGGGACAATGGAGTCAACGCGTATAATACTCGATTCATCACTTCGTACAAAGCACCAGGCTCATCCTGGCCGTCAAGAATGGGTTTCGATGGTGGACTGTATTTGCGCAGATGGAACAATTCTACCACCGCTCGGGATATTCAAAAGGTCGAACATCTTACAGAACTGGATACCGAATAGCGTACATAATGAATGGTTCTTTTCAGCAAATACAAAGGGTTGGACGAGTAACGTTCACGGTTTAGAGTGGTTGAGGCGTGTTTTTGAACCGATAACCCGAGCAAAAGCAGGCAGACAACACTGACTTCTTATTTGTGATGGCCACGATTCACATATAAGCGGTAGCTTTATAGCACACTGTCTTCAAAATCGAATTGCGCTTCTTATCCTACTGCCTCATACATCACACTTGCTGCAGCCGCTTGATGTTGCGATTTTTTGGCCCTCTCAAAAAACGGCTGACAGCGGCACTATCGCACTTGAACCAAGCACAACCCGTACGAATACAGAAGTACGAGTGGATGGAAGCATATATTCGAGCACGATCAGATGTATGCAATCGTCAGAACATTGAATCTGCCTGGCGTGGTGCTGGTTGAACCCCATTCAACCTGCAAAGAGCACTTCGTACGATGACCCACGATGCAACACCCGAGCAAGAAAGACCAAGAACACCAACCCAGTTTGATATTTTTAATCAAGTCTTTGTAAATAGCTCGCCACCTGATCCAGCGATACTGCGAGATGCGAATAAGCTACTTAATTCAACAATTAAGGACCATACGACTGTTGCAACACCAGTCCGCAGATATATCCAAAAACTGACAACTGGGACTGAGCAAATTCATGCGCAAAGTATCGTCCACCAACATGATGCCAACAACTTACGGTCTATCATAAAGAAGCGTGCGACCCGTACGAAGGGAAAGAGGGCGGTTTTAAAGGGCCATTTCCATATCTCTACCCAAGAATTATGCGATGCAGTGGTGGAGGCTGAGAATGCTACAAAAAGTCGAGGTAGGAAAACACGAAAGGGAAAGGGAAAGGCAGTTGTGTACATTTCTGATAGTGATTGCGATGATGAAGAAGTGCTTCACGAGAATTCTGAGAGTGATACTGGGTCATGTATTATTGTTGATGTTTAGCTATTTAATTTTCTACGTCGTTCTCCTCTGATATCCGTTGCGTTACGCCATGACTTACGTTACTCTGACGCTGCCGATGAGGCTGGAATTGCCAAATAGTCCCATGCGATCCGTGATATAACTGGATACTGATACTGCTTGTAAGGATGCCTTCTCGTCTCTCATTCTAGGGAGTAGACTCTGGGTAGCTGCGGGGTCACTTGTGATCATTTGGGTGGGCTAACTGAGTCGGAACCGAGTCGGATGGTTTTCGGGTACTTGAGACAATCGACTCACAGGGTTCCCCCTTCATATTTTTTGTAACCTTCATAGTAGACCTATAGGATAGCATCCGTTTAGCCTCCGACTAGCACTCTCATATGCTATTACTGTGAGCTGGGTATCCTGTGTCCTTACACTGCTTTGCCTGCCAATATTTGAGGATATTAGTATTACGGTCGACACCATTCTCTTTGAACCATCGTCGCCACTCAACTTCCTCAATAGAAGGCCCGATGCTGATACATCTCGTCGTCGGAATCAAGTTCTCTTGGAATCGTCGGCTGCTCAGTTTCGGCAGCAATAGTAGCTTCAATAGCAGCAACCTGTATATCATTCTCACGGTCTTTATACCGGTTATAGCAAGCTGCGAAATGTGCTCTTGCCCTATCTCGTTTTACAGCGTCTACACTATTTGGCATATAAAATTCGTATATACTTAAGTGAATCTTGGGTCGCAGATAGTAGCAATTCCGGCATCGGTGAGTCTTTATTTCATTTCCTATCTAACTTCAGTTAACTTGCGTTCACTGGCTAATGGCCAATAGGTAGCTTGTTCAAGCATTGGGCTCAGTTTTTGAACGGGGAAGGAATCTAGAAAGTTTTAATGAAGAGGGAATGCATCACATTGACACTCCGGCTATTGCTCAATGGAGCATTTGAATATACCGAGCCACTCACACCAGATGAGGCGCTTGCATGAGACATGTCCAATGCTTATGGATAATCTCCTACCATCATCTGAGCGGCATGATATCGTCGAACAATCTGTCCTTGCCCCCTTGGCTGACAAAATGCATCTCCGCCCAAATGCTACAAGATGCATATCCCGACTGTTTATCCGGAACCAGCTCGACCTACCATTGAATGCAAAAGAGTTGAATGAAGACCATTACTTCACACAGCAGCTCCGGGAAGCATTTCGAGTCGACTACAACATGCCACACATCGCAAGTCTTGGTACTCAGCCCATTCAATGGTTCTCCCAGTTTTCGTTTACTGATCCGTAAGTTATTTCTCTCTTCCGTTTATTCTGATACTAGCTAATCATGTTCATTATCAGATTGACAAGGCACCGCGTTACATTTACAGCATACGGTAATGCGGTTTGTCGGTTTGATGTTGGCTTCGTCCACGAGAGGACCCCTGGTGAAGCAAAACTCTTCGCTCTCATCACAGAGTTGGAAGATTGTGGAGAGGATGACCCAGTCCTACAGCTCCCACGAATGCGGCTTATGAGCCAGAGCCAGAGAATCATTGGGCTCCCCGTTATTGGGAGTAAACCAGTATACGTTGTTGACATGGATCCTACGCATGATCAGGCCGCTGCACCTTTCCGAAAATGGCCACTTAGATTGAGCTCAACGAGCCGCGAGGACGAGGAGTTGAGCTCGGTGAGTCTTTTGCAGTGCTGGTGGGAGGTGGGAATTATGTGAGCATGGGAGAAATGGAGCTGTGGGAGGAATGGAGCTACGGTCATGGAAAAATAAAGCAGATACAGCCTAGATGCAATACACAGGAAATAAAATACAACAAACACTTACTTCGTGCATATAAGTTCATTTGAATTGCGTTGATAGGTGAAATGTGAAGCTTTTGGGTGAGGCTTGGTGCTCCTTCCGTTTTTGGCCAACTCTCGCTTTTACACAGGAATTGCCCACATTCCCCATCCTCCAACAACCCTCACCGACCTTACTACAGCGTCACCATTACCCTAAAAGCTTTTTTTTTTTGGGGTATATGTTTAAATTCACTTGTATGGCAATATGCAAGGTCTTTGGACCCGTTTCGAGTGGTGTACGAGCTCACATTTGGCTGAGGTAAGTTGCTTTTGCCATTTCAAGTCTCATCTCATCAAATGTAAACTAACGCCTTATACAGAATCCAAACGTTTTGCTGCCATCGATACCGGGCCTATTTCAACAATTCAAACATCCATCTATACTCTGGATACAACTGCTCGAAGCTGCTCACACACACCCATTAAAACGGCTCCCCGCCCGCTCCCTGCTCGTTCGCCCAGCTCCGCTGAAATTCTGGCCATACTTGCCACGTCAAAAGGGAAGTCCTCTCGCTCTCTCTCTGTAGAGATTCGTCAACTATGTGCTTTTTCCAGCATAGCTTGAAACCTCAATGGAATCCAGGTACTTGCCAGCATTCGAAAACGAGCTGCCATTTCGCAACTATCCTGCCTTGCGCCCTGCTCCAAAACCCAAGGAGCCTAATATCCCATATCCCAGCCTCGTGGAATCAATCTTCTCCTACTGCTGCCAGGTTTCGAAAAACTTCCCAGCCATGGATATTGGCAGCATACAGCTCTCACCACGAAAACCCCGACATTGGAATCCCTCGGATACCTGGCCCCCGACATCAACCATCTGTCTGCCCCCCAAGGATTATACCTCGCCATGAACGATCCCCATTCCATCTGCGATTATAACCAGGCTTCCCAGCTCAAGCTGGCTTGGGCTAAATCCTGGCTATCTTTGCTGGACACTCGCCCATGGGTGGCGCTGAGATCTCGATTTAATTCGATTTTATTTTTATTTATTTTTGAAGCATCCCAAGCCAGCTTGGAATGCCCCATTTTCTTCGCGTTACATATACTATTTGGCCATGACTTGCGCATTTTCTGGATTTGTATGGGTTTTGGGGGGTCCAAAGGGGGGGGCCTTTGGTTTTTTGAAAAAACAAGGAATGCATAGCAATTCCAAAATTTGGCCCTGTTTTGGGGCCTCAACTATGTCCTCTTCGTGGTCATGTTTTTCGACAGCTGTCATAGCTGCCATTCATTTCTTATTTTCGGTTTTCTCTTTTCTGTCAGTGTTGAGGGTTATGGTAGGTATTTGGAGTCCCTGATCAACGCCAGAGATGGCCGATCACACTCAACAGGTCTAAGTATCGCTCTCATTTCTCTTTGGTGTTGGGGACGTTTATTTGGAGTCCCTGATCAATGCCAGAGATGGCCGATCATACTCAACAGGTCTGAGTATCTCTCTCATTTTTCTTTCTTCGGTGCTTGGGAGTTTCATTCGGAGTCCCTGATCAACGCCGTATTGGCCGATCATACTCAATAGGTCAGAGTATATTCTCTTTTTTTGCTGCTGTTGATATGTGCTTCATGTATCAATGGATCTAGTAAGTTACAATTCTTCATTTTACGTTTTCGAAAGCACCCAGGTAAGTCAGCTTCCCATTTCATTATTCTGTTTCTATATTCGCCAAAAGAACATATCGCATCAATACTGGCAACCCCCGAGGTAAGTCTGTGTTGAATTGACCTCCCATTCCCTCCCCCCCTCCTTGAAAACAATTGGCTAACATCTTCCTGTGTCGTGGGGACATGATACAGGCTTCAGGCTTCGAGCAATGCGTGTGCGAAACGCTTCCCGACAATACACGAACCCGCACTTTCAACTGCGCTTCCAACAACCTTTCGAATACCCGCGACAGCTAGGTCAACACCATCCAGCTGGAATACGAACACATACCGGAGAGACAGGGCTGGATCTTGGGGGGGAGCTGGACTTGGTGGGAGCTGGACTTGGTGATGGGCTCAAGGATTGCGTACCTGGTAGGATAACCAGTACGTTTGATGCCACGCTTCGCAAGTGGCATCACGACTCCTGGTTGGGGTGAGGGTCGGGGCAGTAGCTACTGGTAGATAGAGTAGAATATAATATACGGTATATTACACTATTTACCATTGATGATCCTGTCCACCGTGACCTGACCACCACTGGCGCGCCATCAACACTGCCGTACTACTGGGGAGTGGCCGGCTACATCGTTGTTGGTACAAATCACCGCCTTACAACAGTCACTTTTCATCCGCGGCATACGAAGCACTGCGGAGGATCACAAGATTTACAGCGGCTTCAATTATACAGTCTAGTTATATATGACCGTGTAGTGGCATCTACTGCCAAGGCTTCATTCGACCGTCGCTGGCCATGCCCGGTCGAGGTAGTCAACCGTAGCATCGCTGAGGGAGCACGGTCGAAAGCTCTCCACGGTGGATGAATAATCCAACGTCTCACAACCCACCCACCACCCTTACCAAAATAGATGGTGCGCCGGTAAGATAACACGTACATGCTTAAACGACTGGCCTTGAGACTTATTAATAGTCATAGCAAAGCATAAGCGGACGGGAAATTGTTTACAGGAAAACTCTACGCGCTATTCTAACGTACCCAATCCTGAACTTCGACAAATGATAGCCAATCAATCGGTCTTGGCCTTTTATAATGTAGTATAGTATAGATATTGCATGTGGAAGACCTCGCTTGGCATTACGCCGATGTAGGATCGTCCGTAGCACCCTTTTGTAGCACCTTCCTTGCACTCCATCGCGCCTGGTTGCACATGGTCCTCTGACATATATTGGCCGAGATCATTTGGGACAATGTTTGCTTCACACGGAACGGAAACGGAAAGTGCGATGCGCCAATCAAAAAGATCTGCAACAATGGATCCTTTGTTGTTTGCATAGCTTACTATATCGGGCTCGGGCATAGTAGCATCGAGAGCAGCGCCGCTATTTGCGATCCATATATATATGTATGTAACCCACAGCTGCGGGTCTTTACCTGCCCCCGGATCACTTTCCTATCCCTCCTTCTCTTCCTTGTCTTCCGTCTCATCGACGCCGTCCCCTTCTCATCGACGCCGTCCCCTTGTAATCTTGTCCCTAAATATGATAGTTGTAATCTTGTCCCTAAATATGATAGTGCTGACCCAAGCGATCGGCCCCACATCCGCTCTTCCGGCCCCCTTGAACCCAAACTTACCCCATGGAGCAATCACCGACGTGCAAACCCCGTCTCCCTCAGCCTCCCCCACTGTGACAAGGAAGCTGCCGTGCTTCTTGCCCTCAAAGTCAGGGTGCGTACAGAGGATGTCGAGATTCCATGCCTCCTCGCGACCTCCGGACCAGAGGTGCGCAGCATAGGGCATAAGCGTCCTTGAACACCTTGATGTGCTCCGGGTCCGCAGAACGATCTGGCCAGAAGTAGGACACGATGCTACCCACCACCGTAGCATTTTTCATGCCTGCAAACTATACAGTACGGCGCCATAACTATGAATACAGGTCTGTGCCTAAACTGCAGTAAACGAGCGTATTTGAGAATGGGAGAAGCACAGACCTGTATGCTTACTTCTGGCGCCGTACTGTAGCACCCTGTAGACCCTTCGGTGCTGGTTCCGGCGAACTTACGTAGATCCAGCGGGTTCGCCCGAGCCGCAGCCCCGGGTCCAATGCGCTCCCAGCATGACTATGCAACGACGGAGCCTGTCAAGGCATCCACAGCAACATAGTGTTCGTACTCGGGCTTTGATGGCGTATGCGATGCGCACTGAGTGATGTAGTCGGGGATAGTCGCGACGGTGGGGGAACATGAAGCGCCCATAGACGTCGTCCTCGATGAACGCAGCCGCGGCGACCTCAGCCATGCGGGGGTAGTTCGTGTGACAGCAGCGCGGATAGACATCTTGAGTATCTTGTTCTTGTGAAACTTTGGTTGTTGCTCTGAGACCTCCTTTTCGCTGGAAATGCTTGTTTCGGGGCGTGCAATGCGAATGTGATAAATGAAAGCTTCGTGTTGGACCTCCAGAGTGGCCGAGATGGCAATTGTTATTGGCAAACTTGCGGAAGTTCGGACTTGGAGACCTTGTAAATATGCCCCTGTATAAGGTGTGTGTCAGGCGGTTCAAGCCTGGAACCGAACAAACGTGGTAAACAGGCGTGACACAACAGCGCGAAGAAATGTGGCACACGAGCAGGGGTCTTGACACTTGCGACTGCTACGTTAAGACATAATTAGGACCCATACGCATTGTTGGATCAAGGATACTCCGTCGGGCGTTATACGCGGATAATTTGCCGGTTCCTAGAGTCATTGATCTCCGGACAAAATTGAAAGCGAACCTCTCTCATACACTATCAATAACTTCACAGAACGACCTGATCTCTCTGAGGGATTGGAAGAACAAAGCCTACATCTTATAAATGCCAATTGGGATGTCTATCATGTCTGAAAAGGAGGCTGTCAAAGAGAGACAGGTCGGGGCTGTTGGTGAGTCTCTCCGTTACCAGATTAATTCATGAGAGACGTTCCGTCAGGGAGAAATATCACAGTCGCTGACCCCCACTTCATAGACTCGGAGCTGATCCAGGACCACAGCATCCGTAAGTGACAAGTCCTTTCTGAATCATTCCCAAGGAGTGCCTGCTGGGGCCAATTGGCACAGCAGATGCACCTCCATGTGATGTGATAGCCAGCATAATCGGCTCAACTGACGTTCCACCACAGCCAGCTCTCGCGATGGGGAAGTCGACGTCTTCGCCGAAGTTGCGCATCCACCGCGAATGACTGGTGCCCTGGAGGTGCTCTCTGCTGGATTCAATGTCTGCAATGGTTGGGCCGGTGTAGCCGCGTCAATGTTCCTCGCCATCTTCCAGGGAGGACCAGTGACGATCATCTATGGCTGCATCGTCATTCTCTTTCTGATGGGCGCGACGGCATTGAGTCTGGCGGAGCTGAGTGCCAGGTATCCAACTGCTGGAGGGCAATACCATTGGACTGCTACACTGGCGCCAAAAAAGTATGCGAGAGGAATGGTATGTTTTTGAGGCATGAGTAGCTTGAGCTTGACTGAGCCTGACGAGAAATAGAGCTACACGGTTGGCACCATCAACATGTTTGGATGGGTTGCCATCTGCGCTGGTATTTGCATCATTATGCCCCAGATCATCATGGGCATTGTTGTCTTCTACAACAATAACTTTGTGATTGAGCGGTGGCATTCGTTTTTGATATACCAAGCCCTCAACGTTTCGGTGCTTGTTTACAACCTCTTCCTTTTACCCAAGGCAGCATGGACACATAATATTGGCTGTTGGTATATCTGCCTTCGCTTCTGAATCTTACTAACAACATTTCCAGTCGCATTGTCCCTGCTCTGCTTTATCATCTTTTTCATTACATGTCTCGCCATTGCCGGTCCCAAGCAGCCAAACGAATATGTGTGGAATACCTTCGTCAATGATTCCGGCTGGCCCGACGGAATAGTCTTCCTTACCGGCCTGGTAAATCCCAATTTTATGTACTCTGGTCTCGATGGAGCCATCCATCTTGCAGAGGACTGCATCAACGCTTCGACGGCCGTCCCGCAAGCCCTCATGGCTACCATTGTCATCGGCTTTGTGACGACCTTCGCATTTGTAGTCGCCATGTTCTATTGCATTTCTGACTTCAATGCGGTCCTTATGACTCCAACTGCTGTCCCCATCTATGAGATTTGGAACCAGTCGACCAAGTCCGAGACCGCCGCTACGATCTTCATCGTTCTCCTCCTCCTCACTGGCGTCTTTGCTCTCAACGCCAGTCAACAGACCGCCTCTCGCCTGACCTTCTCTTTTGCTCGCGATGATGCTCTCATCTTCTCCAAATACATAGGGCAGATGCACCACGGCCTTGGTGTCCCACCATATGCACTTTTCTTTAACGCTTTTGTTGTCTTTGTCATCGGATGCATCTATCTCGGCTCCACAACGGCTTTCAGTGCCATCATCGGCACTGGCCTTGTCCTGCAACAGCTCACATTCGCTATTCCAGCCGCTTTACTCATGATACATGGCCGGGCGCCACAGTATCTCCCATCGAGCGGGCGCTGGAACTTGGGAAAGTTTGGGTGGTTTGTCAACGGCGTGACGGTGGCATGGAGCGCCCTCCAACTCGTGCTGTACAACCTTCCTCTCGCGCTGCCCGTGTCTGGTTCAAACATGAGTAAGCCCCCCTCATCTTCCACAGTGAATTTGAATGACTTGAACCTTGCTGATTCTTTGTGCAGATTATACCTGTGCGGTTCTTGGCTGCATGGCCTTATTCGCGCTGGTGAACTGGTTTGTCTACGCGCGCACGCGCTATGCTGGGCCAAAGATCGACTTGACCAAGTTTCAGTAAATATGGGCAAATATGCCCATATCCGTTAGACTCTGTTCTATTCCATTGAGGGCGTTGAAGTTTGACAAAGAAGCTTAATTTCGTAGGTACAGTACCATACATACATCTAGCTGTCGGAATATACCATGAATAACTCAGTCTTTATTGTTCTTCCCCCCCCCCACACTTTACATCAAATATGAACTAACGAAAGGCACGAATCGAATAACATCCAGCCACGACTACAATATTCAAGCCATTGCGAATAATATCCCTCCATCCAAAGCGACCCTGCCGTTCAGTTCCTGGACCGCCCGCCACAGATGTTGGATACTTGAGATAATCGAATATGAGGTCGAAGCGATCCTAGACAGAAGGTTAGTAGGACGTCGAGAAGAGTTTTTGATAAAATGGGAAAATTACGAACCTACGGATAATTCGTGGGAACCAACAAGGAACATCAGCAAAGAACTGCTGGAGGAATATCGACACCGCCATCCGCCAGCCATTGATCCCAAGATGCAGGGGAGTAGGCCAGTGGATCGGAGGAAGCGGGGGTCCCAGTTACAGACGAGGAGGCAGCGCTAACTGCCTGTTCCTCGGCCTCAACAGCGTCACGCTTCTAAGCAGCCACACGTTCGGCCTCCTCTGCCGCATCAAGCTCGTCGAGGGTTTTCAAACCTCGCCGGAGCATATCTTTACCACGGGTTCGGATGAGGCGTTTCTGCTTCCGCAGACGAAGTAACTTCGAAAAGGTTTCTTCCTCTTCGCGATCCAGGCGATCCTCCTCCCGTTCGAGCTTCACCCAGTCGGGATGCTCAGGACCCATACAGTCACACTTTTCTTTCAAGTTGCGACGAACGCACTCAGCGCACTGCCGTGAATCATTTGGAGATGACACGCAAGTAATGTTTCGCCTCACGCAGTTCGAGCAAGAATCCATTTCGGGTAGTTTGTATCCGTGGTTCTTTATTCGACGGACAAGATCGTTGCGTTCCTGGAGTTTGCGGGCAGTGTCAGTAGGCATGTTGCATGTTGAAGGACTCGCTGAGGAGCAGCAGAGTCCCGGGGACATGGACGTACTTATAGGATTTGAGACGAATGCCCAGGGGAAGGGAGCGAGTGTTACGACGGAACAAGAAGGCTGGCCAACTACAGGACAGGAAGGAGGGAGGTCGCATGAGACCGGCCCTGGTACCTGGAGGGGCAGCGAGGAATAGTAGTTCCGAAAGTATCACGTGACGGACTCGCAGGATGATGAGAAGAGTCCTAAGAGTCCAGGACTCCGAGGACTCGAGTGAGTTCCCAGGAGTCCACTAGGCACGTGACGGACTCGCAGGATGATGAGAAGAGTCCTAAGAGTCCAGGACTCCGAGGACTCAAGTGAGTTCCCAAGAGTCCACTAGGCACGACGCCACTATATAAGTAGATAGTATTTCCTTAGATAGGAGCTTCGTGCTCAACTCAATACAGTATTTGTTATATACTAGTAACGTGTTACTTGAAGCCTTTGTGTCTGATCCCCTGCCTCCTCTGATAGGTAAACCTTTACGCAAGAGAACCTCTGTGCCTTCTATCGTTTAGAAGTTAGCGTTACAATCCCTCCTGCCGTCACCGCCTCCGTCCGGGACCTGCTGGCGCTGCAGTCGGACTTCGGCGCTGCCGTGGGTGGCGTCCGCGTTGGCCTCCGCGCCCGCATCGTGGCTGCTGCTGCCGCCCTCCCTGCGGAGGTTCGCGTGGCTGTCTCTGTGGCGCCTTCTGCGGTGGAGACGAGCGCCGCCCTCCTCCGCAACTCGGAGGAGACGCTGGTGGTCCTCCGCCAGATGCAGGTACGTTTTCCCCCTTCCTCCTCCCGTCCTTGACCTTCGGCTCCTCCGGTTGCTAACACTTTAAAGCGTAGCATGGCTGCTCTCACTGCGGGTGGGAGGAAGGGGAAGGGGAAGAAGCGGGGGTAGGCCGGTGACGGTCTGCTGGGCGGTCGTTCGTGCTGCCCCTTGCTGGGTGGACGATCGGGCTTCCCCCGTCACCGTCGCCGCGCCTGCTCCTAGGGCGTTTGTTTTCTGGGCGGTGGCGTGGTCTAGGGCGTTGTGGGTGTTCTGGGGTGTTTTGTGCATGGCTTGCCTACAGGCCCCCGTGTTTGTTGTCTCTGCCGCCTTCGGCGTAGTTTAGTTTGGCCTTCGGGCTTATAATACGAGTGTTCTTGCCCCCGTGATCTGTCTTCGTCCCGTTGCGCTCCTATGCCTGTGCCTGCGCCTCGTTCTGGCTGCTGGTGGTTGGTGACTTTGGTCGCGTCGTGTTCCTCCCCCCGTTGGCCGGGGTCGGACCGGTACCGGTACGTAGCCGATTCGAACCAGGTGTTACGACGGAACAAGAAGGCTGGCCAACTACAGGACAGGAAGGAGGGAGGTCGCATGAGACTGGCCCTGGTACCTGGAGGGGCAGCGGGGAATAGTAGTTCCAAAAGTATCACGTGACGGACTCGCAGGATGATGAGAAGAGTCCTAAGAGTCCAGGACTCCGAGGACTCGAGTGAGTTCCCAGGAGTCCACTAGGCACGTGATGGACTCGCAGGATGATGAGAAGAGTCCTAAGAGTCCAGGACTCCGAGGACTCGAGTGAGTTCCCAAGAGTCCACTAGGCACGACGCCACTATATAAGTAGATAGTATTTCCTTAGATAGGAGCTTCGTGCTCAACTCAATACAGTATTTGTTATATACTAGTAACGTGTTACTTGAAGCCTTTGTGTCTGATCCCCTGCCTCCTCTGATAAGTAAACCCTTACGCAAGAGAACCTCTGTGTCTTCTATCGTTTAGAAGTCAGCGTTACACCAGGTGGTCTCGTCGCCCTCCCCTTCCCGTAACTCGGGGGGGTTTGGTCGCTGCCCTTTGGCCGGGCGGCCCCGTCCTCCCGTTACTCGGGGGGGTTTGGTGCGTCCTGGCGGTTCCCCCCCTTGAGTCGCGAGGGTCGCTGCCACCCCCCGGCTGCCCTCCGTGTGTTGGGGTTCTAGGGGTCTCTGGCGTGCGTCTCTTCCCCGCCCCCGTCCCGTGTGTTTGGGTTCTCGGGGTCGGTGGTCTGACGTTGCTGTTTGCGCTAGCCCCTTGTCCGGATCGGTTGCGGGGCGGCTTCGTGGTACGCTTGTAGGACGTCTGGCGCGTTAGCTAGGTTGTCGGGGGGTTCCCACGTGTCCTCCGCGGGGGAATACCCCTTCCATCGGACGAGGTATCGGCGCCCCTTAGGGGTCTCCTTGTGTGCCTGAATGGACTGTACTTCCCATTCATCTTGGTCCTGGGTTTGAGTTGCCTCAGGCGGTACGGTGCCGGTTCGGGCGTGGTACAGTTCTAGCAGGGACACGTGGAACACGTCGTGGATTCGGTACCCCTTTGGGAGCGTGAGGCGATACGACTGCCCGTGCGATCCGATGGCTTCTGTGACCCTAAACGGGCCTAGATACTTGTCGGAGAGCTTCCGATTAGGGCGGAGTTGGCGGATGTTTTTCGCCGCGAGCATCACCTGGTCACCGACCCGGAACCGCATCGGCGTGTGTTTCCGGTCGTAGTGCTTTTTGTGGGCCTCTGTGGCTCGAGGAAGGGTGGCCTCTAGTTCCTCTCGTTCCCGTTGGAGTTCTTCCACCTGGGACGCCGCCGTGCTGGCACCGTCGGCCGGCTCTGCCGCGGTGACCTCGATGGCGGGGTGGTAGCCGTATAGTAGGTAGAACGGGGTGTGTCCCGTTGACTCGTGCACCGAGTTGTTGTAGGAGAACTCGGCGAGCGCTAGTTTGCTAGCCCAGTTACCCTGTGAGTAATCGCAGTAGCAGCGAAGGTACTGCTCTAGCGTCTGGTTCTGTCGCTCCATCTGGCCGTCGGTTTGTGGCCGGAAAGCAGTGCTCAGCCGCCTCCGTATTTGGAGGTAGAACATAAAGCTTCCCCAAAACGCACTCGTGAACTGGGGGCCCCGGTCGGAGGTGATTCCCGTCGGGGTCCCGTAGTCCTTGAAGATAGTGTTTGCGGAGACTTCTGCAAGTTCTGGGGCGTCAATGGTAGCATTGACGGGTATATAACGTGCCATCTTCGTGAGGCGATCCACGACGACGAGGATCGAGTCGTAGACTCGGCCTCGGAACCAGCTCGGTGGTAACCCCACTATAAAGTCCATCGTGATCTCCTGCCAGGGGGTGGTTGGGGGTTGGAAAGGCGCCAGCTCGCCGTATGGCGCATGCCTTTTAGTCTTCGTGCGTTGGCAGACGTCGCACGTCCGGAGGTGACTCTTCACGTCCCTCCTCATCCCCACCCAGTAGTATTTCCGTTGTACCAGCTCCTGGGTGCAGGCGAAACTGAAGTGGCCGGCGTGAGGGTCGTCGTGGTGCGTGGCTAGTAGTTCCGCCCGCATCGGTGGCGAATCGGGGACGTATATGGCGCCCTTCCTTCGGAGTAAGCCGTCCTCCCCTGTCGTCCACAAGGCGGCCTCTCGGGGTCGCCGCGTCGAGTGCGGGGCTGCCACCCGTTGGGTGACGAAGTCATCCCGGGACTGCAGTTCTAGGAGAGCCTCTATTACCGTCGCCCCTGAGGGCGAGTAGGGTCTTTCTCCCGCGACGATGGTGTTCGTGTCCTGGCGCCGTAACGGCGCTGCCTCCGCGGTCGGACTAGGTTGTTCCAAGCTGACTGCTAGCTTCGCGCTTAGTTGGTTCGTTCCTCGTTGGCGGCCTACCGCGATTAGAGGTAGCGGCGAGTCCTCAGCCGTCTCGGGGCCGCTACATAGACGAAAGTGTAGGCCAGGTAAGTGTTGGTCGAGGGTAGGGTCATCGAGGGGCTGGTAGTTCGGTCTCCGCGATGGTCCGTCCACAGGGTTGGCCTTGCCGGGGCGGTATTCGATGTAGAAATCGTAGCGGGCGAGCGACTCCGCCCAGTGTGCTTGCCGTCCGTTTATGCTCCTCTTGGTCATGAAGTATCGGAGGTTGTCGTGGTCAGTCCGTACCCGTACCGGCCTCGTGACGCCCCGGAGGTACTGGCCCCAGTGGTCCATAGCCAGGACGATGGCCAGGAGTTCCTTGTCGTGAGTGTCGTACCTGAGCTCCACAGGGGAGAACTTCCTGGAGAAGAAAGCGACTGGGTGCCACTTCGCCTCCGGTCCGGCCCCGAATAGCTGCGACAGGATACCCGACGCGGCGTACCCCGAGGCGTCCGTTTCTACCTGCGTCAGCAGTTCGGGCTCGTAGTGTCGCAGCATCGGGGCGGTGGTGAACCGGGCCTTAATCGCGTCGAACGCTGTCATGGCATCTAGCGTCATGTGGAACTTGCGCCCCTTTTCGACCCCAGTAGTCTTTAGGAGGTTAGTGATCAGGCCAGCTACCCTAGAGTAGCCCTCGATGAAGCGGCGGTAGAAGTTGGCGAACCCTAGGAACACCTGGACCTCCCTAACCGACCTCGGCGGCGGCCACTCGTTAATGGTGGCGACCCGGGCGGGGTCCATGGTGATGCCCTGGGGCCCTACCATGAAGCCGAGGAATTCCACGCTGTCCACGGTGAACACACACTTCTTGAGGTTGGCGTATAGCCGGTGGGTCCGTAGCCGGTTCAGGACCTCCTGTACCGCCCCCTCATGGTGCTCCGGGTTTTCGGAGAAGATCAGGATGTCGTCTAGGTAGACGACGCAGGTCACGTCCACTAGGCCTATGAGGGCCTGGTTTATGTACGCCTGGAAGGTCGCTGGTGCGTTCGATAGTCCAAACGGCATGACGAGGTATTCGAAGTGGCCGTACCGGGTCCGAAACGCCGTCTTCCACTCGTCCCCCCCGCGAATATGAATTCGGTGATATGCGTCCTTGAGGTCTAGTTTGGTGAAGACCTTCGATCAGCGTAGCCGGTCGAGGGTCTCGCTGATGAGCGGTAGCGGGGTCCGGTTCCGAACCGTAACCGCGTTCAGCCCCCTATAATCCACACAGAGTCGTCGGCTCCCGTCTTTCTTTGGGACGAACAGGATTGGGGCCCCCGCTGGGCTAATGGACCTTCGGATCCACCCCTTCTTGAGGCCCGAATTGAGATACTCTCATAGCGCCTCGAGCTCCGGTTCGCCAAGGGGGTATACCGGGCTCCAGGGGGGTTCCTTGCCCCCTTCCACCTCGATTTTATGCTCCATTGGGTGGTGCTCGGGCAATACCCCAGCCTTCGCTGCGTCGAAGACGTCAGCTAGCCAAGGGTACCCTAGGATGAGGTTCACATCTAACCCGTCGAAGGCGCAGGCTACGAACCAGTGGCGGGTCGTTAACGACCTCCCCGCCCCGTCCGTGGCACCGATGGGTAGGTGATGGACCCCATAGGTCCATACCTCCCTCCCCTCAAGGGTCGACAACCCCGTGTCGGCCCCTTCGCTAGACTCCCATCCGCACTCTACGACTAGAGACTGGCGGACACAGTTCTCCTCTGCCCCGCTGTCGATCAGGGCTCGCTCCGTTCGGGTGGGCCCATCCGCGGCAGTGACGTGGACCGCGATCACTAGCCGTCTCCACGTTGGTAGTGCCCCGCCTTGGTCCCGGGGGTTTAGGGCAGTGGATATCACCGCCGGGACTCGCCTTTTCCCATCAGGCTCAGGCAATCCGGGGAAATGTGCCCCTTTTTGCTGCAATTGTAGCATATAGCCTCAGGGCAATGGGCCAGCCGGTGCTCCGCCGAGCCGCAGCCGTGGCACCCGTTGCCGCGGCGATCTCCCTTCGCGCCCGCTGGGGTGCGATTTGGGCTCGTAGCTGGGCCTCTCCTAGGGCCCTCAGGGCCCCATTCCTCAGTCCCCGTAGGCCGCGACGGTCGCAGGGGCCCCGCCCTAACGTCCTCGCGGTCTCCCACCCTTGCCGGGGCGTCGGATCGCCTCCGGTTAGGCCTCCTATCAGTGAGGCGGTGCGTGTTCTCTATGCGGGTCGCTAGAGCTAGCATGCCTTGCCGCATACGGGGTATGTCGTCGCGGTGCAGGATCTCTCGCCGCACCTCCTCCCGCAGTTTTGCGTAGAGGGTGTTCTTCCGGAGCTCCTCGTCTTCGATCCGGAGCTCGAGCTCGAGAGTGTCGAGGTGGGCCGCGAAATCTTCCGCTGATTGGGTCTCGCCTTGCTTCGCCTCGTTGTACGACGTTATGGCGTCGAACGTGCAGTTCGAGGGGTCGATAATGGAATCCATTATCCACTCCTTGAATTCCGCCCAGGTGGTGTTCCCTAGCCCCTCGCGGCGCTCGTGGCGCTCCCACTTCGCTGCCGGCGTCGGTCCGAAGGCGAGGACGCAGTAGTCGATCTTGTTCTGGTCCGTGGGGTACTGTGACCCCGCATCGATACGGAACCGGCGGTCTGCCCCAGCGGCGAAGACCTGCGCCTCCCGCAGGCTCTTCCCCTGGAAGGTTGATAGGTCGCGGAACTTCGGCGCTCTGTGGGGGCCTCGGGGGTGGCTCGCCGCCGACTCGCCGGCAACGCTCCCTATCTCGAGGGAAGCTCCCCCTTGGTCGTAGCCGTCGTGGCCGTTGCTTGCGCGCTGCTTCTGGTCCCGCGTCGGTGTCCACTCCTTCCGTAGTTCGCGCAGCTCCCGTTGGAGCGCGCGCTTTCGTTGCTCCTGGACCTCCAGTTGTGCGATCCGCGATTCCACAGCTGCTCGCTTCCGGGCCCGGGCAGCACGCACCTCGCGTTCTAGATGGTCGGCCTCGCGGCGGGCCTCGTCCACCCAGTCACCCCAGTCGGACGGGACCCTAGTTAGGGTGGAGAGTTCCGATCCGTCAGGGCTTCCATCCCGGTCGCCGTGGAGGTCCTCACTGGTGCTAAGTTGGCATTGGGCGTGCCCCTCGTTTTCTAACTGGCTCGACCCCGAGTGCGGCCCCGGTTCGTCGTCACCTCGGAGGGTTTGCGTAGCGTCCTGGTTTGGGGAGCGCGAACGCGTCGTGGCCCCTTCGAATGGTGCGCCCATCGCAAAGTAGGGGCGTTGCCGTAACCGGGTCGTAGCGGGCTGCCTCTTAGAATGTAAGGGTTTAGAATGTAAGGGTTTAGGTAGACAGCGTGCTAAGACCGTAGGTTCGAGTAGCCAGTATCGTATTCAACAAACTAATCTCTGAGCCCTTCCTAGTAGGGGGCTCAGCTACTTTATCTACTCCCCCGGAGTCGGGCCCCCGCCGTCTCGGTTGCGAGTCGGAGCCACGACAACAGCCTAATAGCAGCCTAAGGCCCTAAGGCCCCCCTAGCAGCCTTAGGCCGCTAGAGGCACCGTAGCGGGACGTCTCCGACGCGGGACCGCAACCAGCTCCCCCTTCCTACTGACCTCCTCTTAACCTACCCGTGACAAGAGGCTGACCCTTAGGTCCCTTAAACGCTACAAAACCTAGCTAATGTAATTTTACAGTCTAAGTTTGTATAGAATAGAATTAGAATTCATTAAGGAAGCTCCCTAACAATGATTTTTTCAGCTGTAAAGCAGCTAGTAAAGGGTATAGACTGCCTTGCACACCAAATGACCCTTATATAAGAGGAGGTCTATACCTTTTAAAAGGCTAACATAGCACTTTCAAAGCGTTAGAAATCCAAGCGTACACGTGTCTAAAATGGAGGGTCACTTACTATAGAAGATGCTTAAAACCTAATTGCTAAAAAAGAGGATAAAGGGTTGAAACAACAGAAAAGGTCAAATGAGGAGGCTGGTCTGTCAACTTCGTGGCGCTATAGGAGGTGCAGCAAGACTAGGCATAATGTATGAACCTGTTAAGAGGCTGAAGAGATATTAGGAGAAGAGAGTTCAATTGATGTAGTTGATTTTAATGTGTTAGGGTGGGGTAATTAGGTTTGAGGTTGCGATGTAGTCGGAAAGTGTTTCATTTAGTAGGATGTTCCGTTTGGTAGTAAACCACGTTAATCTAATCATAATGCTTATATAATATTTGACTAGTCAAATAGTCATGATTATCATGATTATTTGTGCTAACCCTGTATAATAGTGTATTATCCCATCTTCATACTGTACTGGGCGATTAAATTACCATGGTGGACTTTATTTACAGCTTCCAAATGGCAAGGCTGACGCGGTGGGTGGCGCGCAAGGCTGATAATAAACAAGCAATATGATTGGCTAGTAGAACTACGATATCTTTGTTTCCAACAGAATCCAAATAATTACTTGGAGCTTCACGATACCATATACCACCATAAGTTGAAGGCACAGCTGGGTTTTTGTTCGCATAATGGCCATTACAATACTTGCCCCCGCTCCTCCGATCCAGGATGTAGACTACGATTCATCCTCAGACTCAGGGTCCGACGGAGGAGCTGACCTCGATGGAGATCTAGATATGCGCCCCAAGAAGCGTGCCAGACGAGCTGGATCAACAAGCATAGTTACTCCCGGAGAAGTAGTCACAGATGATCCCCAATGGATGAGGTATGGTCTTCTACTGCTAGACTTGAGGCACTTCTCAGCGGAGTGTCCACCCAAATCGCATAGTCCCTAACAGCTTACAGAGGTCACGGAACCTACGTCGAACCGGCCACCTCAGCCATCCTCGCCACCGTCGCTGGCACCATCCAAAAAACCAACAAGCTCCTCTCCGTGCGGCCTCTACGGGCGCGCTACACCCCCGAAATTGGCGACCTAGTTGTCGGCCGCATCATCGATGTGCAATCCCGGCGCTGGCGCGTGGACATTGGCGCCCCGCTGCTCGCTGCGCTTCCGCTGTCGGCGATCAATCTCCCCGGTGGAATTCTGCGGAAAAGGACAGAGACGGATGAGCTCCAGATTAGGACGTTCCTATCGGAGGGGGACCTGCTCGTGTGCGAGGTGCAGTCTTTGTTTCACGATGGGAGCGCGAGTTTACATACTAGAAGTTTGAAGTATGGAAAATTGAGGAATGGAGTCTTTGTGTCAGTTGCGGGGATGGGAGGGGGTGGAGGTGTAGTCAGGAGTAGGCGGCAGGTGTGGACTGTTGAGACGGCAAATGGAGGGGGCCCAGTGGATGTGATTCTTGGGGTGAATGGGTATATCTGGATATCAAAGCACATCAAAACAGCCGATGAAGACAAGGCAGAAGTGGGAATTACAAGGATTGAGGAGAGTACCAACAGTACGGTGTACAGCAGTCAAAACGACGAGATTGCTGCAGAAACTAGGAGAGAGATTGCGAGGATTAGAGGAGTGGTGGCCAGTTTGGTGGAGGCAGGTATGAAGGTCGATGAGGAGATGTTGATGAAGGGATATGGAGCTGCAGTGGAGATTGAGAGAGAAGAGGAAGGGCCTGGGGGGGATTTCTTGGGGGGAGAGCATGGAAAGAGGTTAGTGAAGATGTTGCAGGGAACCTCATAGAAGGAAAATATATCAGACCTTGGGCAGTTTTCGAAGGCTTCCACTACTGTACTGCACATGACATCGATGGGCAAGCATGGCGCAAGCTATGTTCGATTGGGGTACATATTGAAAAAAATGTTGTCATGTAACACTCCGGATATCCGTCTATATATTTTACAACCCCCCCAGGCCGGTTTCTCATCATACAATTACAAATATCTTCACACCCTAACTCTCTCCCTTGCGCCATGACATCGATAGCAGCAGCCGTATTCAGGTCTTTATACGTCCACTAAACCCGAGCGTCCAGGTTCCATCGCGATGCCCATCGAAGCTTTTGTCAGGCGTTGTTCGTCTCGAACACATCCAATAGCGTAAAAGCTTGCGCGGACCTCGTCTCCGCGCCTTTATTGAAGAAAGTGCAAACTTGGCTGTCGAGCAATCTCGGTCAGCAACAGCTCTGATTACTGAGTAGGTAAACCTTGGCAAACTGGCTGGTTGAGTTGAGTTTGTCCATCGGCCCGTCCTGAGCAGTTCGATAACTTCCAGCTTTTACCCGCAAAGTCTTGTATTCCCTTAAATTGGCATTATCCTTAGCCATGTCCGAGTTGTCTAGTTGACTAATCTCCAAAGCCCCATTCCGACAAGAGTAATCGCGATTCCGGTAATTCCAGTCTGCCTGCTCTTTAACCCAAACATGCTTCCACTCTTCGCAATTGCCTTCTGCTGCGCCAGTAGTTGTGCGTGGCCAGAGTAGTAACTGTAGATACCGAGTCCAGCAAATGCTGCAGCTCCAGTTACTCGACAGGGCGTACAGTCGTCGCGGAATTCCTCCTTGTCATTCGTCAGCACAGTTGTTAAGGGTTCCGGGCGCTCGAGGGAGGCGACAGGTGGGATAACTGGGCCGGATTTATTGAACATCGTGGCGCAATGTATCGAACTTGAGAGAGTGTAGAGCTGGTGAGGTTGGCGATGGTGGTGTTGATGCGATTCTTGAATGTCCATGGGCGTCAAAAATGGGATCGGCGCTATAGCTTGGGCGGGATGCGGCCGCGCCAGGAACCCCACGTCGGATATACTGTGGAGCTCCAAGTCAAGACATCATTATTCCACGCGCGCACGACCAAGAGTTCCTGGAAACCCTCCCAATCGCCAAGGATGAGCGGTGTTATTGAGGCTCTCCATATCTTTGAAGATCACCAGTGAGTTGTTCATCCTCTGCTGGCTTCCAGCCTCCGTTTCCTCGCAGAACTGACTCTCATACAGCCGTCCCCTCCTCTCGCATACCTACACTGGTCGCCCACTCTCGCCCTCACAGTTGCTTCCTCTATATCTTGCACATCCCGAACCTCGACCATCACTAATATACCTACCAAATATAAACCCCCCCACGCTACTTTTCAATCTGTCACATGCGAACCTACTCTTCCTCCTCACAACCTCGTCCGAGATCGAACCTCTCCTCGCCCTCGAGTTTCTACACCGGGTCATAGACGTGTTTGAAGAATTTCTAGGGACGCCAGTATTGGCAAGCAAGTTAGAAAGCAGCTATGATATTGTTGCGCAGCTTCTCAACGAGATGTGCGACACTGGCGTGGTGTCGACCACAGAGGGGAATGCGCTCCGGGATCTCGTGGAAGTAGAAGGTTGGATCGGCAAGTTCCTTGGTGGCATAAATCTTCCAGGGTAAAATTGGCCCTCAACTGTCATTATATGAGGAATATGCTAACTGGTTCTCCAGTAATGCGCCATTTTCTTCGAATACCCCGACTCAGATGCCAGGAATGTCCTCTCTCGGTCCTACCTCTACCCCAGCACTTCCCTGGCGGCGAGCAAACGTCAAACACACATCCAACGAACTCTACGTCGATATAGTGGAAACTTTGTCTGTGATAATAGCGCCATCTGGGCGACCCCTTTCAGCCTTCGCCACAGGATCGATCGCATTTACTGCCAAGGTCTCTGGCGTGCCGGATGTCCTCTTGTCACTCTCTTCACCCTCTGGCAGGCACAATATCGATAGCACAATGGAACTGCCAGTCTTTCACCCGTGCGTAAGATTAGCACATTGGAGAAGCAACCCAGGCGAACTGAGCTTCGTCCCCCCAGATGGGAGGTTTATCCTCGCGGGGTACGAAGTTAACCTCCTTCCTCTGCCTACGAGTTCCCTCACCAGCTCCTCAAGTAACACCAGCCTCAAACTCCCTGTCTCCATTGAAGTCAAGACATCCCTTGGACCGACTGGCTCGGAATTCGAAGTACGGCTGCTACTTTCTCCGCCATCAGGGCCTGGTCAGAGCAACTCATCCGTCTCCTCATTGGGAGCAAGGTCCTCCCGCCTCGGCGGATCAACATCCGGTTCGGCCTTTGGCAGTGGCGGGAGCACACCGAAATCGAACTTGGAGGGTTTGACACTCACGGTGCCTATTCCAGCCGATGTACGGAATTTGAGCGAGATCAGGGCATCCAGGGGCGATACCACGTATTCACCTGGTGCTAAGACATTGGGGTGGCATATCCCGATCAAGGAGGCTGGTGCAGGAACGGTCACCTTGCGTTGTTCTGTGATAGGAAATTTTGACGACGACGACGAGGGAAGCAGTAATGCGTTTACATTTGAGCAATATGACGAAACGGAGGGGTACCAAGCTGCAGGTGCACCCTCGCTAAAGGCCGGCGAAGTGGAGGCCGAGAAAGCTAAAGAGAAGGATGATAAGGTAGTGGCGAGGAATAAGCTGCTTATGCCAACAAGTGCGAGGGTTAGTTTTGGGATTAAGGGGTGGTTGGCGAGCGGCCTGAAAGTCGATAGTCTGGTTATTGATTCAAGGAAGAGCAGGGGTTTAGGTGATGGAGTAAAGCCGTACAAAGGGGTTAAATATCTCTCCGTGAGCAGAGGTGGAGTTGAAGTCCGCTGTTAGATTTGAGCGGGAAGGGCATACGACGGATAGCATGGCGTTGCTTGGAGTTAATGATTGATGCGGAGTCTGGATGAACGCATCATTTGGCGGCACTGATGTCATATATGGGCATTAGATGGATAGGACCAAAAGTTGAAAACTGGTTAAATACATGGGCTTTTATATCCACAGAAAATGGCAACTTTGGCGACGGTAAAACCTAATGCCTCACGATTCCCCGAGATGTATTTCCTGTATGGCGACACCTCTTACCACATAACGATATAGAATATCATCAGCTACATGACGGCACTAAGGCCAAAAGACTTTAGTCCTCCTGCTACAACACTGGTTATTTTGGAATTTATGTAATAAGTTCAAGTTCCCAGCCCAAATTCGTCTGCCGAGTTGGAAAGGCCTCGCTCGGATACTTGCCCCTTTGTCAATACAATCTGAAACTTCGACAGGGTTATTTTGTTTCTACAACGGTTTGTGCTATCACGGATACAAGTAAAGAGCCGAAGGCTTTAATATGTAGATTTTGCATGGCCAAAAACAAATTGTAGATTCTTAAATTGCAGGCTCTAGAACAAATTTAGACCGCCCAAACCCGCCAACCTATAACACCAACCCAAGACCGTTAAATGAAACAAACTGCGGCGCACGCCAGAAGGTATATAAGCAAACTACGCTCGCGAGAGCGTAGAAGCCATGGTAAAAGGTTTAAAGTAGACCGAGAAAAGAAAGGCCGTCGTTTTGGCGCCGGCAAAGGCATATCATCATCGGTATGATTCGCATGTCGCGCGTGCTTGTCTCAACGTACATCGAAATCGTAAATAATCGTCGCCATCGTCCAGAATATTCCTCCTCTCTAATTAGCCCACCAACCCCGCAACTCTCAACTGCTCCTTCACCAGACCCTTCATTCTCTCTATCCCGGTCGGTGTTCCGCTCCTCGAAGTTCCACTCTTAGGCGTTTCGCACCTAGGCGGTGCCTCATACTTCATTTGTGATAGTAAAACCTCCTCTTCTATAACACCTTGACCCATCCTATGTATCTCTTGCTCGACGTCTGCAAGCAGTGCGTACACGTCTGAGTCGGCATAGATGCGGATGCTCTCTGCACTCGGTCTCCCTGCCGTACTATGGCTATCTCTATGTCGTTCATTAAATGGCTCGTTCTCTAGCGTGTGTGGTGGAGGAGGCGATGTCGATAGCTGCGGTGGCACTGGGCGCGCAAGGCGGGCTGGAGCCTCTGGCTCGGGCGATGCACGTCGCTTCGACGAGCTAATAATTGGCGATGGTGACAGCGCCTTAGTGGGCGACCTCGGAGGTGTGTGGTTGGCTGTCGCGGGGGAGTGTAGAATATTTATTGCTTCATATTCGGGTATGCTTCTGTTATCTATCTCATTGCGCTGAGAGGGCATCATTAAGGCGGCAGCAACATGTTCGAAAAGCTTTTGTCGAACGCGTGTACGGCGGTTCTCCGCATATTCCACCTTAGATACCCAATCGTCGATGCTAGCGTCTAGCTCCGAAAGTGCCTCTTCCTGCTTTAAGATGGCATCATGTGAGAAGCGCGCAACACGTGGCGACCGGAGGTAGCTGCAGATGCGGTCGTGGAGGTTGCGGCGACCAGACCGAAGAGATCGGTGAGTCCGACGGAGATACTCGCAGCGTTCATCAAGAGCACGGAGTTCCTGGAGAGATGTTAGTCGATGACTTCATAATACAAGGCAAATAATGGGAGCTTGCTCACCCTTGATAAATCGCCTACATGCTTCGAAGCTAAAACTTCGAATTGCGCAGCTTGGCCTTGCGCCTGTTGCCTTAGAGCTTCGATGTCTTGTGGCGAGAACTTTGACGGCGCATCAGAAGCTTTGACACCGGTGGGCAATGTGATAAAAGCCCTCTGTTCCTGTGCCTTCGTAGTGGCGCTTTTGATAGATGATCCATCCGCACGCTTCTTTGGCCGTCCACGGTCCATAATTGAAGCCTCTGATTCTGTGCGCCTATGGCCCGGCCTAGTCACGACCGCAAATGACGACGACTCTGAAAGGCCTCTAGTATGATTCCTTGGGGTTGGGCTTGGCTTACGGGTCGAGAATGACCCCTTTGGTGCTGGTGATGCTCGGCCCTGGGCTTGAGGGGATGAAGTGCTTGTTCCAGGAGCAAGCTTTAGTGGTACCAAACTTGCAGTAGACGCTGAGAAATCGGACAGCGGAGTGAATGGACTGAATGGAGTTACGGTTGGAACAACAGAAGGTAACGAAGGTAACGATGAAGCTAGCCCAGACTGGGGAGACGCTTCCGACAGCATCCTTGCTGACTTTGGTGGCACTTCTGGCGGAGTGTCGCTGAGGGAGCTCTGCTCACTGAGCCTGTTGAGAACTCTCTTAGGAAATGTATCTCTTCCGGGCGAGTCGTTCATATTAGTTGGGATTATAAGAGGGGCCAGCCTATTAGCATGCCTAGAGTGCATCTTAGAGCTCGGCGAAGCATAATTGCGGCGCTGGAGTATCCTCGAGACACGACGCTGCTTGATATCCACCACTGGCCCTTCGATGGCAGCGAACATTGACTCCCCAAATACATTCTGCCTCCAGCTTGGCTCGCCTGGGGCGCTGATTGAGCGCTCATGTACTGGAAACCTCCCTGGTATAGTTGCTAACGTTCATCAGCAACAAATTCTTTATAACGAACCAAGCAGCTTACGAGAATCCATCGCAACCTCCTGAACCGTTGCCATATGTCCTAAATCCGTCACGCTGGGTTTTCGACGTCTGCCGAGATTTGGCTCCCTCTTCAGGCCATTAGTAGGGCTGGGTCCTTCCGCAGCATTCCCCTTGGCTGTCGTGGCATTTGGTAATGTTTGGTCCAATTCAGGAGTCTTGCGACCGAGAGAGGTGGTTATGGCAAGTTTCTCCTGACTCGAACTCGGAAATAGCTGGTATCTGGGTGGTTGGGATGGTTGGTGCATTCTCCACACATATTTATCTTTCTCTTTTCCGTCTATAAGACCTCGTTCCGGCGTTTGGCTCTATCGAAGGTTAGAAGTGTAGTGATAGATCTTGCGGAATTCTCACTCGTTCATAGGTAGTATGTGGTGACGACTCTGGAGATGAGTATTTGTTTGATGCCAGCATCGAGGCGGGGTCGATCATTAAGTCGGCAATATGAGCCATATTATTAGAGGGTTTCATCTCAAATTGCGTAATATAATTGCACATAGTAGGATTAGTAATAGCGTAGAACTAGTGTGGCGCTAGCTTAGAGCTAGTCCGCGGTAATCACCTAAGCCTAAAGTAGACTAGCATTCCTAGAACCAGGTGACCGTCAGGCAATCCAGTCTACTCGTAGCAATTGGTAAAAGTGATAATTTTGGTATTATCACCACAACTACGAATACTACCTAGCGTCCTTACCCTCACCACCCTTCCTTATGGAAGAAGATGATATCGTTGCCTTTGCGGCTGTCGCCGCAGCGGTGTACTACCCCGACAACAGCGCCAGGAAGGGCGACGGCGCCGAACTGCTTATGAATATAAGCAGTTTAAGTTTGACCTCAATTCTTGGGGCCCAGCCAAAACTCGACAAATCCTCCGGGCCCCCACCTCCCTTTATTATATCACATTACTAACTATCTACAAGCTTTACACGCGACGAGATCCGCCGAATCCTCCCCTCTGCTTTGCCTCGATAGGTAGTCTGGCGACACGGTGTTTGCCCCTCCCCCGAAACAGCCCTCTGCATTGTCCTTGCAAGGCTTGCATATCCTGGACCGTGGACAGCTTGCGTTGAGCTTTTTGGACGCTCCGCAAGCTGTCTACCGTCTTCAATGACACGGTACTCTTCTTGTACCGTCAATTTGAGGATCGCCTTGCGTGGCACCTCTTGCTAACTTATAGTCGGCTTGAGGGGTTTGCCGTTGCTATGCTGCTTACTAATTGCTATACTTGTCTGCGTGGGAACCAGACAAGTCAGAAGTTTAGATCTCCTCTACCAACGGTGTGGACTGTCGCTGATATTGACGTCGTGAACAACGTCAATATCAGCATATGCGTTACCAAGTGGGCTTGGAGAGGGAGGAAGGAAGTCGCTAGGGCCAGTTACTTGGCCCCAATTCACATTATTCGTAGCCATAGTTAGTAAACTTATAGAGTATATAGAAAATATATATATTATCTTACGTCGTTAGAGTAGAGCCTCTGCCAAGGCTCTACTTTTTTACACTAATCTAGATGTAGGCATGTCTAGGTATGACCTTACGGAGCATAATTATGCTACGTGAGGACATACTTGCATACCTATGTATAGGTATGCTTTGGGTTTGGCGCTAGCAAGGTGGCGCCCGCTAGCATGGGGGTATTACAGGGGGCTACAGGGGGCTACAGGGGGCTACAGGGGGCTACAGGGGGTGGTGTAGATCTTACCGCTAACGGTATGTAATCATGTTACAGTACGGCGCCATAAGTAAACGAGTGTCTTTTTGTATGGGAGAAGCACAGACCTGTATGCATACGTATGGCGCCGTACTGTACGCTACGGTTCCAGGCGCAGGTCCGCCGACATTTGGACGGAAAGCCTACCGTTTAGGGTATAGAAATAGTGGCGAGCGTTGCATTGGTCGATGACGGGAAGAGTGAAATCGTTGGAGATGAGACATCTGAAACTCGGTGGATGTGACCAAGGTACGCTGGGACGCCCGCCAAGGGCCTTGACAGTCGTGAAGGTCGGTCGGAGTGGCCGTTTCTTCCCTGGTATCCGAGCTATCCACTCATGAGGAGCGAACTTGGTTAATGTTTCTGCACAGGCATCTACTATGGGCGAACAGGAGCAAACGGAGGTTGAGAGGTTATGTCCGCTTTCCATTGCGTTGGCCAATTCTATGCGCCTCGCCCATCCGGTGACGCGCACGTTTCTCAATTTGAGCGTAAGAAATGCTCGAGGAGCATGGGTGGCACATTGTGTGATACGGCTCGGGCGGACGCAGGGTCACAACCCGAATGCCTTCAATCAGAGGATGATCATAGCTTCTAGCGAGAATGCATGACAGTGGCCGTTCATTCATGCACAGCAACAATAGCGGCACCTGCATATGTGCAGCGGGACGGAGGAACCCATTTAGGGCCATTTTCTGGTCGATATGCACCATGCTTTCCCTGATACTACATACTCCCAAGTGCAGTATGCGTCTCAGTCTTCTGGTGAAGAGTTGCCGTCGTTCCACGTGCCAATGCTCGTATCCTTGCCTGCTCCTATTGCAGGGTGATGGAGAGGGGGTTGGTCAGTCACCACTTTTCGAAACCTGCATGTCCACAGCACGCGCTCGGGCTATTGTAGTGCCCGTGAACTGCATGTTCCTGCCATGTGTGTTGGGCACACATAGATCAGATGAAACGGAATTGCTTGGTGTGGAACGAATTCATGGAGAGTTCGGTTTTAAAACGAAGTTTCAAGCAGCACAAAACATACTCGAGACTCTGTCGTTACTTTCTGTTACTGGAATACTTGATCTTGTCAACATGGTACATGCAATGGAGATGCAATGGCTTCGAAGCCTATGAACAAAAATGTTCGCGAAGTGCGTCCAGTATGACTTGATCGAGGTGTATGGAGTCAGTTTACTTCGACACAAAACGTGTTCAGGTCACACGTGGTAATGTTGGGTTAGATTGCCATCCAGTCGGACGAATTCGGCGTTAGACACCATGGAGGAAATCCCTTCATAATCTTATCATAATGCTTGATGAAGGAGGTGAAGGCTTCAGCCCTGGCTTGCGAGCAGCCGCTCCCTTCTCTGCTCGGAATTCGGTGCGGTTTCATCTGACCTTTTTTTCCTTTTGGGCCTTGGCCACGGCAGATAGAGGCTGCTAACTCCCCGCCAGTCCATAAGGTGCTACTATGGTGCTACTATGATATACACCCATGAACGAAGATGCACAAATAACCGTCTGTGCTTCGCTTGGTATTGTGTCAAGTTGTGTATGAGGCTTGGCAAGAAGCGGGGCAGCGTGTCCACGTCCTCCCCCACCCTCACTCGTAAATGCAAAGAACACGCGGAAAACGAGCAATCAAGTATGTGAGGGTAAATTTTGCGATATTGCTCTCTACTACTACCATTGAAGATCAGCAAGGGCAGCTGCTGCATCGGACAATCCATTGGTTTGAACTGGAGGTTTGATCAAGTTTTCAAGCAACGCAACGCATCGACCCCTTCGGCAATCTCGTCCATTTGGTTTCGTCAGATACATCACTCGAGCCCCTCACCGGGATTACCATGTCATGGCTTCGGAACACAGCAATAAGGCCCTCCAACCACGTTCATGAATAGCACGCCCTCAAACGATCAAAGTCGGTCAACATATTAAACCAAGAGCGGAATATTACCCAGTGCATGGTGCCACGAGTTGCAGCTATCATAGAGCCCAGACTTCCCCATCAGTTCGCTATAGATTCTCCCAACTTATTTGTATGCGTTGCTCTGCTTCTGTATGACTTTCCCCGTGGTGTACGGGGTAGGCTCTTGCCTTCGGTGCGTATTGAGTCAACTGCAATTGTATATCGTACGGTGCTTCGGTCAAGGTTTAGGTCGTGTGCAATCTTAGTAGGTGTTGCACCCTCTGACTGCCTCCCAATAATCTGCCCGCGTTAGTATGGGCTTAATTGGCCACCAGGCTGTCGATTCCCATCAATTGGAGCCAAAGCCCTCCGAGTTGGTGGCATAATTATGGTTGTTGTACAAGGAGGGGTGGGTTACGCGACGCGATTTACGCATCAAATTGGAATTCGGTTAATAGCTGTAAAAGAGCCTTGGCTGAACAGGGCAGTGGGAAGTCACGTTGTAGATAGTTACGTAGTCAAGCTCTCTATTGAACGCTGACCCTCCTCCGAAGGTCCGCGTTCCTACTATATACGATTCCGGGCAGGGTTCGGCCTCCGCCTTGGCAACTCATCGCACGTGATTGGAGTCCGCACGTGATAATGCTCGTGACAATTATCCCCCCTTATGCGGCTCGAGCCCCTTTGAGCCCGAGAAGTGAATTCGGCCCGTGTTGTTTATTTTGGCTTGTTGCCGTGGCCGCTTAGCGGCAGCCCTGCCCCTGAGTAAGCGGTCCCGGGTCGCTTGCGCGTTGTTGTGTGTTGTTGTGTCGTTTTGACCGCTTCCTCCTTCGCCCTTTTTCCTCCAACTTCACCACCTTCAATTTCTCTTTACTGACTCAACCGATAGATCTCTTCAGGATGGCCCCAAACGCCCCGCTAAAGGCAAGGGAAAAAAAACTGACGCCGCAGCTTCTCAAAGCTCTCCCCGTGGCGCTGAGGCTGCCCCGGTGCCTGGCCCAAGCAACGCCACTGCTGCCACTCCGTCTGGCCTCGCTCGTGGTAGTCGCCTTGCCACTGTGGTCCAACCCCCGGAGAACCCTTTGCGTCATGCGCGCCTCCCACCCGTTGACACGGTGTCAGAGGTGATGTCTTCGCCCTTGAAGCCCCGCCGCGCCAAGCCGAAGGTCGCCATGTGTCTCCGTTGCTCTAAGAGAGTGTACAAGGATCGCGAGGATATGTGCTGCTCCCGCGTCAACGCTATGACCCGCTGCACATACTGCCAGGAACATCGGGCAAAGTGTCTCCCTGTGTGTGTTTACCCTCCGCTTCGCCTCCTACTCCACTGACCCTGCATTCTAGATTCCCCCCTGGGCTTTCCGCAAGTTCAATCGCTTGATGGCAGCATTTGAGAAGTACCAGGGCGCCATCGATCCCAGCATCCCTCGCCCAAACTTCAGCCAAACGACCGCGCACCGCCGCGCCAATATTTTAGAGGCGCTTCAGCTCCGCTACACGAAGTTTGTTGAGGCCGGAAAGAACTGTAATGGTGGGTGCACCAGATATGAGAATCTAGCCACCCAAGGAAGGGATGAATTTACTAAGACAACACACTGTCTTAGGAAACAGAGCCAAAGGGTTGTAGCTTAGACTATTCCACAACGCAGCAATCAGGTGTATGATGTGGTGAAGTGGTTTAGACAAGTTGCAACAAATGTTGAGTCTGAGAACTCAGGGGTAAGTCAGAGGTTAGCACCTCACTGACTTTTCAAAAACAGAGAATAACAAGATCAATGCTTGGAAGCTTGGAAAAGACGTAGAAGTATGTGCTAGTCGATTTACTGTATTGCCTGCTTGCCCTTTCTTAAGGAAAGGGCAATCCTATTTATGCCAAAGGAGTGTAGTTCTCTCATTTTCCATGACTTTCCATGACTAACCAGGCTTGGTAAATGTATTAGAAATCAAGTGCGACCCACAACTAGCTTGCTAATCATGTAGTGAACGTAAGAGAATCCCATAGAACCATCTCTTGGGTTCCTAGCCTATAGGAAGTGAAAAGGAGGTCCAAGGTCAGAGTACCTATAGACAAATTATGTCATAACTTAACCAATCTTGTGGGTAACTAAGGAGCGATGACGTGTAATGAATCATAGATGGTTGTAGAAGCTTCTAGAGCTATCGTTCATGTTCCTAGGCCTCTAGTTGGTAGAGATATGCCATGTGGTAGTATTGGCCCACCCCCTTAAGGAGGAGAGTTTCTTAATAACTTGTTCAATGAGTGTTCAAATGATATGCCGTGATGTATGTAGCATAAACAGATGTAGTAGAAGAGTTTGCAGCAATCGTTGAGTAGTATTGCTTCTGTTGTTGGTGTGATAAGCCAAGATATGTATGGTGACTTGTAGGTTTGAGGAGGAGATTTCTAAGTTTGCTCTTGAGTTTGATAGCAAACTGAGTGCAACGAATGTCAGTATGACAAGAACGTGATGCATCACCGCCTGCTCGTTGGGGAGGATTCCAAGCATTAGAAGGTGAACACCGGCCTGGCGATGCTGGAGATCGCCTCTGACATTCGCGGCCTACGCCGTACCATGAGGCACGCGAATGACATCCAGATGGCGCTGGTCCGTTGCCCCTCCATCTGCCCCCCGCTTTCCATGCTGACCCTTGATAGCACGTCCACAACCCTACCGTCACTGCGACTGAGGAGTACGAGTCGTCTGGTAGCTAGGGTGAGGAGGACCCGCTGGTGGATGACGAGGACGCTGAGGATTGGGAGCTGGCGACCGTTGTGGTCTCTGATGCTTAGGAGGAGGTTCCTGAGGAAATGGACCAGGACGCGTAGGTTGAGGCCCCACCTCGTGTGCGCTGGCCGGCTGTGGCCCCTTGCACTTTTGTACTTTCAGATAGTTCCAGTGACCTGAGGAATGGGCTGACCTGGCAGCTTCCTGCCATTTGTGGCAGATGAATTGACATTTTTCCCTCCCACTCGTGGCGCCTCCGTGACCCCTACGCTCGTCTCTCGCCTCTCATGATAAGGCTCAAGGAGGGACACATGGAAGGTTGGATGCACGCCCATTTCCTGAGGCAGCTCAAGCCGGTATGCCTGTTCCCCTATGATTTCTACAATCTTAAAGGGCCCTATGAGCCGTTCTGAGAGCTTCCTATTTGGATGTCGAAGATTTAAGTTCTTCGTTGATAGTAGCACCCTGTCCCCCATGCTATATTCCATTGGCTTACATTTGAGGTTGTAGTATTTCGTTTGTGCCTGGGTCGCTTTTACCCAGTGCCGCGCTAACGCTTCCCTTTCCTCTTGCATTTGGATTACCCGGTCTTTCGCCTCGGGTACGTCTCCCTTCCGAGGGGCGTCCGCGACACTTGCGTCTCCCATTTGTGGGTGGAAAGCCTTTAGTGCGTAAAAGGGGGTAGTTTGAATGGTGGAGTGGTGAGAGTTATTGTATGTGGCTTGCGCAAGCGGTAGTAGTGCTACCCAATCGTCCTGTAGGCTTGTTACGAACGACCGGAGATACTGCTCAATTGTTTAATTCTGCCTCTCAGTTTAGCCATCTGTCTGCGGGTGGAAAGCGGTGCTTAGACGCTGCCGTATCTTAAGGTAGAAACAGAGCGCAGCCCAATAATTACTCGTGAATACTGAGCCTCGGTCTGACACAATACCATTCGGGATTCCAAACTCTGGTAGGACGTAGCGAACGATGAGCAGAGTCAAATCATGTGCATTTATCGTCTTATTTGTTGCAATATATATGGCGTATTTCGTGTAACGGTCTACTACTACAAGGATAGAGTCGTAGGCCTTCTTCATTATTGGGTGTAGGCTTGGTGGTAGGCCCATTATGAAATCCATTGTGATCTCCTTTCCAGGGCCTTCCGGTTGTGGAAGCGATTGTAATTCGCCATAGGGGCGGTGCCTCTTCACTACCATCCGTTGGCAGATTTGGCAAGTCTTGACATACTCCTTTACATCCTTGCCCATCCGCGGCCACTTGTATTTGCGTTTAAGCAGCTGAAGCGTCTTCGCAACTCCGAAGTGGCCTGCAAGCAGGTCATCATGGTGTATTCGGAGAAGCTCTTCTATAAGGGCTGGGTCTTGTGGGATTGGTATGATACCGTTCTGGTATAGTATTCCGCTTTCTACCCGTAGCGCCCACTCTCTCTCAACGCCTTCATGGCGTGGATGTTGCTTCTTCATTCGCTTCACCCGGTCCCCTAGATATGGATCACCATTCTGTAGTTGGGAAATGAGCTTGCAGAGATCTACTGAGGGCTCCTCATATGGTGTCTCCTCGACTGTTCCGAGCACGGCTCGGCATCGGGACAGTGGGCTCTGCAGAGGCTCCTCACCACCCTTTCGTGGGGTTCGCGTGAGCTTCTCTACTTTGTAGAGGATGTCTTTTGTTTCCGTTCGCTCGTCTGCTTTTGCAAAGACAGCGCGGATTCGAGTACTCTCTTGCAACGCATCGCCCTCGCTATCTCTCGTAGCCTCACTCAACCCCCTCGCCAGCTTCTGCTGCAAGGTAGGGAGCAACCCATTATACGCCTGGTGTTGGCGGTCGACATAGTCAGGCCTACGGCTCGGACCATCTGCGGGGTTTGTGCAGCCAGGTCGATGTTCTATTTGGAAATCGAATCCTGCTAGGAATTCAATCCAATGAGCCTGCCGGTTATTAATGGATACTTTCTTCATGAAGTAAACCAGATTATTGTGATCAGTCCTCACCGTCACTGGAAAATTGCTATCCTGCATGTAGTGGCGCCAGTGCTTAAAGGCCGCCACGATGGCGAGGAGCTCTATATCATGGACATCGTACCTGATTTCCGGGTCCTTGAGCTTCCTCGAGTAGAAGGCAATGGGGTGCCACCGTGTCACCCCCGCTTCGTCTGTGTTCGGCTGGGTTAAGATTGCCGCAATGGCCATTCCTGAACCGTCCATCTCTAGTCTTATAGGCTGACTTGGATCAAAGTGGCAGAGGAGTGGAGCGGACGTGAAGGCCTTCTTCAACGTTCGAAAAGCCTCCGCTGCCTCACCGTTCCATGAAAACGGACCACTCTTCTTCCCATTGTCACTTCCTTTCAAGAGCCCCGTGAGGGGTTGCGCTACACGCAAATACCCCTCGATGAACCTCCGATAGAAGTTCGCAAACCCAAGGAATACCTGTAGGTCTCGGAAACTTGTAGGCTCTGGCCATTCTGTGATTGTCCATAGACACCCCCTTTGTGGAGACGATGAACCCAAGAAATTCGACCTCTGTCGTTGAGAACTTGCACTTCTTTAGATTGCAGTAGATCTTAAACTTCTGAAGCCGCTCGAGGACTGTGTGGACATGTTGCGGGTGTTCCTCCTTGTGCTTCGAGTAGATCAACACATCATCAAGGTACACTATGCAAATTATATCCACAAGTCCTGCAAGCGCTTCGTTAATGTAGGCTTGGAATGATGCGGGGGCGTTGCATAGCCCAAACGGCATCACTACGTATTCGAACAGACCGTATCTTGTTCGGAAAGCTGTTTTCCACTCGTCCCCTTTCCGAATTCTCATCCGCTGGTACGCATCCTTAGCGTCAAGCTTCGTGAACACTTCTGCACCACTTAGTCAGTCAAGGATCTCAGATATGAGGGGTATAGGGTGTCGATTCTTAATCATCATTGCGTTTAGGCCACGATAATCCATGCACAAGCACTTGGAACCATCAGGTTTGGGGACAAAAAGGATTGGCGCCCCTGCTGGGCTCGTTGAGTTCCGGATCCAGCCCCTTTGCAGGGAGTCTTCAAGGTAGACGCGAAGGGTTGACAGCTCCTTCGCGGAGAGGCTGTATATGGGTCCCCATGGGGGTTGCTTACCCGGCTCAATGTCAATTGCGTGCTCCGCACACTTTGAGTACTCTGGTAGTGACGCTGCCCCCTCATCATCAAAGACATCCTGGAAAGCATCGTACTCCCTTGGGATTGTTTGGGGATAAGTAAGGACCTTCGCTCTCACATCTGGCCGTAACTTCATGAGGAGGTGTTGCACCCGGTGCTCCTCACTATAGGCTGGCATGTCCGCCTCTAAGGTTTCGAGGTAGGTGGCAAACGCCTGCGCTGTCTGGCCGCCTCGCTGCCGCGCCTCCTCATATTTGACAGCCGTTGAGATCGTTCGGTTCACTGGGTCCTGGACGAGGTCGAGGAGGAAGTTCTTAAACTCCTCCCAGGTCTTCTGGAACCCAGGTTCCTGTTCGTGTCGGAGCCACGCGTCGCGGGGTTCTCCTGTGGGCCACGTCGTCGCAAAGTCGCAGCGTAGCTCGTCCGACTTATTCGCCCCTGGTTCGAGGCAGAAGGCGAGCTCACAGCTCGTAATAAACTCTAAGTGTTCCGCACTGTCTTCCCTCGGTATTCCGAGACTGCCTTTGCCCTAAGGCTTGGTGGAAGGCCATCATGGGATATCGAGCTCGCTGGCGTCCAGCTGCGTTCCGGGGTCGCGAGGGTCTGGGGCGAAGCCTCCGCTTCGTCCGCGCATTCTAGTTGTTTCTGCAGCTTCCGAATCCGCTCTCCCATCTCCCGTAACTCAAGCTCCTGCCGCAGCTCAGCTTCGAGTGCTATGGCAGCAGCGATCTGGGCCTCAATCCCTGGGGAGCTGCGAACCCGTGACAACGGGGTTGTGGCCCCTGAAGCGGGAGTTGCTTCTTCGCCTGGTGCAGCGGCCTCACTGCGCTCACGCTTGATGCTCGCTGCGAAGCCTTGACGGGTTTGACGGGGCGGCATTCTCAGCTTCTTTCTGGACTTCCCTACTGGGCTGTTCTTCCTAAATGTAGGAATGGATGAGCGTTCAGAATGTAAAAGAGCCTTGGCTGAACAGGGCAGTGGGAAGTCAGTTGTAGATAGTTACGTAGTCAAGCTCTCTATTGATATGAAGACTGAACGCTGACCCTCCTCCGAAGGTCCGCGTTCCTACTATATACAATTCCGGGCGGGGTTCGGCCTCCGCCTTGGTACCGCAGCACACGTGATTGGAGTCCGCACGTGATGATGCTCGTGACAATAGCAGTGGTCTAGTACTGTATACTACGAAAGGAATTGTAGAACCTCAATGCTGAGGCACCAACTCGCCAGCCAATAAGCCGAGGCAAGCCGTTGAATGGACCACACAAATCAACTACCACCTTCCGTATTGGTGATAACAATCACTAAAAACAGTCACCGAAAACTTACAAAAACACTCATTAGGAAGGGTTAGGACTTATTTCCATGAAGCTTTTGATCTCCTTGACGAGATCTCTAGCCTCATTGCCAACTAGAATTTCGGTTTCAGCTGTTCGAGCCCCATTTCCAAAGGCCCAAATCCGAAGTATGGCTACTTCTGAAATCGCGAGCAAGACTCGCCGTGACCAATGCACTCTGTCCAACTATGATTGCTGGACGACGAAGCATACCATTGCTGATCTCTTCATTGACTTCAAGAACCAGAAGCTCGATGGAACAGTGACGCTGCAACTCGAGTCGTTGACTGAGAAGGAGTCCAAGATTATTATCCTTGACACTAGCTTCGTTGACGTAACCTCCATCAGCGTCAATGGCCAACTCGCAGAGTCCGGAAGCTGGTCAGTTGCTCCGAGGACGGGGCCACTTGGCTCTGCCTTGACCGTTGAGATCCAAGGTGGAGAGTCCAAAGGCCAGGTGGTAGAGCTTGCAATGGAGGTCTCAACGACCGACAAGTGTACTGCTTTGCAATGGCT